GTGTTTGGGAAGGCACGTCAATGAGAAAGGAATTTGAAATATTTCAAACTGCAGAAATGGTGAATTCCAAGGATGAATGTATATTTAGAAAATGTCGATACATTAAGTCTGAATTACAAATATTTGAAGACGAAATATGCCAAGGCATGATGGGCAACTGGAAGTAATGCTGCATGTTTTAACAGCACAACTACTAGGTCCGACAATTCTGAATAATGATAATATTCTTGGCATTCAAGTCCTTGTGTCGGGTAAGGAAGCCAAAGTGTTTCAGTACGTTGACGACACATTAACGTTATCCAGTACACAATCAATAAAGGAAGTTTTCAGTGTACTGGAAAAATACGGCCAATCATCAGGAGCTAAGGTCAATATAGAGAGTAATATGTATTGATAATGGTATAGTGACTGAAACAGAGGCTGGTGAATTTCAAATTAAAATAAGATGCAATTCTCATACTGGGTATATATTCAGGTTTGGATGTTAAATTATGTGAGTCTCTTAACTGGGAAGGTAAAATTAATTCTGTTTGCAAGATCTTGACAATGTGGTCTGAAAGATATTGAAAGATCCAAGGGCGTGTTACAGTTATATCATCGCTGTTACTTTCAAAATGTTTGGCATGTTTTGTCTGTTGCATCAATATCCGAAAAAAGCAAGACTCAAATTAGAAATATGTGTTTTAAGTTTCTTTGAAACAATGGTAAACACCTTGTGTCGTATAAAACAACCATAGGCTTAAAAACTAAAGGCGGTTTACAGTTCCCAGAAATTTATTTGAAAATAAAATCTTTTAGAATTAAGTTTGTTTTTAGATCGTCGAGAAAGATAATGTATAATGGAAAGACGCTGGATTTCTTTTCTTCATTGAGATTATGAATCTCAGATTATCCTGTTTATATTGCAATTTCAAAAGTTTGCAGTTGAATTGTATTCCTTTTCTACCAAGAAATGTTGTTAGCTTTGTTAGATATGTTTAAGTTTTTAAGATTTGAGGAAGCTACTGATAACATCATTGTCAACCTGTATGTTTAATCATCTCTTTCAAAGTAGAGACAAAGTACTGAATAACTCAATGCTTATTGAAGCAGGTATTGTGTGAAGGATTATACTTACGAACTACTTCCAAGTCTCCTTCCAATACAACCATTGTCGAAATAATCCATGAATTTAATCCGCACATTCCAATATAAGACATTATTTCACATCAAATCCATGTAATGTAATGTTTCTAAGAGAAAATACTCACAAATGTGATAAGTCATAGCTATGAAAAACATGTGTTGGTACACAGCACGCGCGTATCTCCACGTTCTACACGTGATGTATACTCTTGTACTAGTAAGTGGGGCATTTGTCACGCCGGCAGCGGTTCCGTTTTGGAGCAATAAATTTCCAGGTGAACAAGTAGATCGGGTATTTGGAATTATCCCTGCTCATAATTATCCTGTAGATGTTACGAGAATACATTTTAAAGTTGCTCACAATACAATTTTACTCGGGAGAAGTTGTTTAAATACGGAATGTCCGGTTCGGATAATTGCCCGGTTTGTAGAAATGCATCAGAAGATGTATGACACATGTTCTTGGTTCGTCCGGAATAGCAAGTTTTTATTCTTTTTTAAAATGTTTGAGTGACCAATTACTGGCTAAAGCAAGTGTTATGAATATGAACAGTATCAATTTTGATCGTCTCGTTCTATTGTTTTTTCCCCGAAAAATGGAAGAATGTTAATAGCTATATAGTGAACTTCACATTGACCGCTGCTGGATATTGTGTTTTAAGAGACGAAATCTTGTAATGTGTAAAGAAGAAAATGTTGACCTTTTGAAATTCTATAAATTTACTTTTAAGCGATCTGTAAAATACCTTTTTATACACTTCATTGCTCAGAATAAGAAGGCAATATTTGTCAAGTGTTTTGTTGCTGATAATAACATGGCTGTGATGAAAGACTGTGATAATGAAATCGTGTTCTAACCCAGCTCCGGGGCCCTAATTGGGACAATAAACGCTTGAATGATTTTTCAAGGATTTTTTTAATGCACTTGCCTTTTACCTACCCGTCCGAGGTTCGATTCCCGGAACGGACGTGATTAGGTAAGGGGTCACCTGTCCGACCACGTGGGTTTTCCCCGGGTATTCCGGTTTACTCCCAAAATAAGACCTCTCGCGCGCTTACATCCGTGCCAACAAGAGTGATTAGCATAAGTTGAAATAACTTGTTTCGCAATTGTTGTAAAATAAATGATCAGTTAAGCGTGTATGAATATTAATTGGACTAATTTAAGCCCAAGTAAATCTAGCAACAGTTCTTTAGTAGAGAAAGTGAAGCATTCATTGGATAAAGGGCATATATGAATGTAACGCCTTGTAAACCTATTGTAAGGTTAATCATACATATCATCTTCATGGTGATATGACATTTACACTAGTTAATGTCACAGTTGGATTTCATCGTCTCCTTGCCATTTCTCTTTTCTAATTTACACTATAATATTAGGTAACGACTTGTATGGTGCTCTGGAAAACATTAACAAGTGTTAATATGTTTAAAGAAAACAATAATATGAAGTATATGAAATAATAACTGAGTTTATTGATCAACAATATTAATTACTGACACTTCCAGCATGTCATATAATATACAAGTTATACACGGGAGAAATACTTATAATGTCCTATTTTCCCAAGGGATCGTCATCTGTTTCTTGCTGCGTCTGAAGTCAATTACGTTTAGAAGAAAAAATCCCTAGTTAAAATACATGAATTAACAGGGTACATTTTAAGACATGTAAATATACAGTATACTTGGAATCGACGTAAATGAAAAAGATCTTGTTAATAAACATATAAAGACTGATTTTTGATGGGTCAAATTGTAATGATAAAGTTTTGCAGAAGTTGTATATTAAAATAAAGTTTTGGTTTTTAACATATTATATTCATGGTAATGTATGTATCTTATTTTTCACTAATTTCAGTCATCCTAAAACTAACAAAAATAAACCTCCTGGGGAAAAAAACAGTCTTTGAAGCAAAATTTATAAATTATGGACCTTTAATGAGGTCAATATGGCATTTTATCAACCGGATCCATGGTCAATATGTTTCTACCAAGTCAATATAACACCATATTGAATTAAATAAAAAGTCCTTAATTTTTATATTACATAATCTGATTATTGGCCTGAGTATATTCATGAATTAGCCTTTAGACAAATACAAAATAATTTCTACCTTTCAACAAAAAAAGGCCTAAATTAAAATTTCACAAATTATCCTCCAAAATGCATATGCCGGTATCATTTTCTGGGGTCCATGTATTACCAGTGTCCTAAATTTAGAAACATGCATGGATTCATGTATTTTATATCTATTACCTGCAAGTGACGATCTCTTGTCCAATCAGAACAAGGGAAAATATCAACATTTGTAATAAACATGTACAGCGTATATACAAAAGTATAAAAGACAAAATGTGGACGGAGCTCTTCATAAAACATGTTACAAATTTCTTTTTGAACATTATAACTATTGAGCAGTCATTGGATTACGTACATCAACTAGATTGCATTTATAATATCAATAAATAACAATCTGATAAGCGTTCAATGGCTAAATATTGCTATTCATGGCAGGTAAATAATTCATTACTTTGGAATACATGTATGACTGAAACAGTTTGATACATTAAGTTAAAAGTATATACAAATACCAATATCCTGATCCAATAAAATCCATTCAACAATTTGTTGTCAGTGTTGGAATTTACGATAAAAGATATACAAAAAGAGAAAACTAATTATGAAATATTTAACTGAAAATGCAATGGAATTACAAAACACCATGCACATGTTCATACATTTTAGCTAAAAAAGGAAAAACATTTAAAAGATTTGCTGCTGTTTCACTTTTAAGGTTTAAATTCCCATTAAAATGATATTTTATTTTTTTTAAATATATTTTCTAAATCAATATTTATTACATAATGATTATACAGTACACATGTGCATCAGTAAAAAAAAAAAAGATATCTACATATTTATATATCTATATATATTGCTGATGAGTAATAGGTTAAAGTGGTCAAACATTGAAACATCATGTAAGATTCAGACATTAATTAGACAGTGTCTCTACAATTAGCATACATATCCTAGATAAACACCAGAGATGATAAAATGATTAAATATGGGGTCTATAATTGTTGGGTAAATCAAATACATGTCCGGCATGTATCAAAATAAAAAATGACAATTTCAATGTCTAAGAAAACAATGGCTGATATACATAGGTACAAAATTAATGTAAAATTTCATGTTGGTAATCTTAGTATTATATACACTTTGCCACATTCCAGTCTGACATTCTGCCATTCTGAAGTTTTACTTGGATATCAATCAATCCTTATCAAATTATTCTACACCTGTTCAAATGAAAAAAATATTTTATTGAAAACTTAATACTGTTTACCAAATTCAGAAATATTTTAATCAGTACAGAGTATGGTAAATGAAAGGAAATCATAGTTACAATATATATATCTTATAGACAGTAACATCATTAATTTTTTGTGGGGGATTTTTTTTCAGTGATTTTGTGGGTACACCTAATCCATGAATTTACATGCCCACAAAATTGTAAGAAGTTTAGCATACAAGTTATCTTAGCAATTATGCTTCTTGTGAGTACTTTTTACCCAAAAAATCAAAAGTCAACAGAAATGTATTCTCATGTAAAACCACAAAATTTGAGTCAAACAAAAACATACAATCTAATTTTACTGTAATAACATGTCCTTCATTTCATTGCTGAGGCAAGTATGTTCTCTTTGTAAAAATGTCCAAAATATTCTGATGTTCAATAAACTTTTACGTCAGTTTCATGACATCATTAAGTCAATTAAATGTCTAAATAATTCAAACTCTTAGAAAATTAGTGGAATTATTTGACCAACAGGTTATATATTATTGATGAATATCATATGAAGCCAACTGTTCGTTCATCATCCAAAAGGGTAACTGTAGACTGTAAATTCTGACAGAATTTGTTTTGCATTTAAATAAGCCGCTGTATTGAAACTGTTAAAAATAAAAGTCTTTATTGGGAACTGTTGAAAAAAGGGCTTGAAATAAAAACCTAGCTTTCCAATTAAAGACATTTTTGACCAGGGTGTAAAATATTCATTAGAAATATGCCCAGATATGTCTCCATTATCATTCATTACAGCTAAACTGTGATTGATCCCTTAAGCAATCACACATCGGCTTGGTTCTTGGTCTGGTATGTCCTCCTCGTCAACAAATTCATTGTCATCCTCTAGTTTGGCAATACCATCCAACACTTGAAGGTGAGGTAAGATTCTAAACACCCTGTAAAAAGATAAGTAAATTGAGTTAATGCTATAACTTGTGCTTGCTCCTTTTTTCGATAAAATATGTTTAAACTAGAAAGATTTAAAAATCAGTGGAGCTATGCCAAATTCTGAACACGCTGTAAACAGTATATAAGGTTTTTTAGATTGATGTTAATGTAAAACCCTGTAAACAGCTGAAGTGAAGTATTGGCAAAATATGAATGGGTCATGATAAACATACAAATGTATATGTTTCGTGGGAGATAATGAAGCAAAAATGCCCCATTCCAAACCACTGGAAAAGATTCTTAAAAAACCCTGCTCTTTCAATGTCAGACATATTGCAAAAATAAAAAAGGTAGATAAACAGAGATTTCATATGGATCTGATAGGCACCCACCATTGTTGGATCTTAATTTGTTCTTTAAAATCTAGATTTTTTCTCTTCTTCCTCTGCTTTTGTTCTTAGTTATATGAAATTTGAAAATACTCCATAAGGTAAAATGATAAAAATCTTTAAAGTTTGTCTTATCTGTGATGATCGTATTTCAACTACATTGTGTTTCTGACCAGTTCAAAAATCAGAAGGGCACAAGTAGGGACTAAGGGAAATCTACCAAAGAAATCTGAGAGAGATCTATCAGTTAATTCTCGAAAAATAGTGATAGCAAACTTTAAATGCCAAAATCCAAGATGGCTGCCTGTCAGCCATTTTGCCTTTTTTTTAAGGATTCCAAAATCAAAACACCACTATGAGGGAACTAAGGGAAAATTACATACAATAATTGAGAAAGATCCATCCAGTACCTCTCAAGGAATAATGATAGCAAAAACATGTTTAAGGATTGACAACTGACAGACAGTGTAAGCCAGGAAATTTGAATTTATAAAGATTTTAAGAAGAAAAATATATATTCATTAAAAGTTAACAATTTTACCTGGCATGCTACACTTAAAAACAAAAATCAAAGGGAAAGCCAACATTTACTTGAAGACATGAAGATGACTTACTTTGGTCGGTAGTTGACAACAAATGTAATTGGATTCCCACGAAGATACAGCTGTTCCAGAGAGGGGAGAGAACTCAGACCCTTAAAACTATTCACATCATTATCTTCCATAATTAAACATGTTATCTTTGGGATGGATGGCAGTTTCTACAAAAAAGAGATAATACAATGTGATATTATGTTTTAGAAAAGATTACTAGTTTAAGGAACTTTTCCAGAAATGTCTCCCTTTGTCAGTCATACTAATAGGCCTACATGTATCAAATTCATTTCGGGCCATTTTCTTTCAGACTAGAGTGATGATGCTGTCTGGGTCGAATTACAGAGTGCAGGCCACCTTACTAGTCACTGCAAGTGGGAATTTCCCTCATGTCAAGCAACAGAGTATTTTCCTGAGATGGAAAAATTGTTGGTTTGACCCCCAATGCGAGCAGATTATGTTTTTCATTACTACTTCCAATTACAATGCAATAACGACAGACCTACAGATTGAAAGCATTGTTTTTTCCTTCAGGTTCTTTATTTATTTATTTGTTTATATATTATTGATTCCTCAAAGTAAACTGATCTTGTTTAAGTCATATGGTCTATATCTTTTTGAATAAAAAAAGTTCAATTGAAAATACTGCTTGAAAACAGCCATAAATATTTCACTAAGAAAATAATCAAGATTTGCTACCGCCAACTAAAAACATATGTCTTCCCTTCATTACTGGCAATAACAGTGCATTGCATGATATGGGGGATTTACTGTTTCAAGGATTCATTGTATTAAACATTGTGCATTATTTGACTTTTGACCTTGCAGAAAAAAAACTAAACAATCTATTTTCATTGTAGTACACACTATCTGTGGGTGAATATATTTCAAATTTCATAAAGATGTTTGTAAAAGTTCAAAGTTTATAGCCTGGATAAAATTATATAGAAAATTTGGCATGTACACATGTGTACTTGGCCTTTGATTTTGTAACATGGTTCTCTTCACCCTATCTGTAGGTGGAGCAGATATGTTTTAAGCTAAATTGTTTTATTACATTTTTGCTAGTGAAATATAGAGAAAAATATCATTGACAAAAGTGTTCATTTTATATCACTGGTGAAAGATACCAAAATGTCACACACACATGTGAAATATATAATTGTTATTACTGAAGCTAATATTAAATATCTATATATCTATAACAGCTCATGAGCTATGACCCAAAAATAGATAGTGCTGAAAATTTTTAAATAATTTGACTGTTGACATTAAGGTGAAGGTCAAAGAGACCACCTCTAGGTGAAGCAAATATGTTTTAAGTTAAATCGATATATCTATAACAGCTCACAAGCTATGACCCAAACAAAGATAGTACTGAAAATTTTGCACTAGTTTGACTGTTGATAATAAGGTGAAAGTCACAAGGACTTTATTTTAGTGCATTGCACACCATCTGCGGGTTTTGCAAATACGTTTTAAGTTTCATCTAAATATCTCAATTGGTTAAAAGATCATGGTCTGGACAAGAAATATTAGAAGAGCCTGAGAAAGAACCAGGACAAGATGAAGCAGAAGAACCAGTTCTGTAGTAATACAATATGTCTTCCTTCAATCGAAACAGAGACATCATCATGTTGTCAGACTCCCTGAAGCACCTTCTGGAATATGTCACTAGTACAGTTTAATAGTTATTACATTTAGCATTGTTATTACAATTAGAGTTACAACATTGCTTTCTTCTCATCAAGTTTTGACATAGCCTTTCTGAGACTATGAATGGTATTATCTATAGGTCTGTCCCAATATAAGACTTTATGGATATAAAAACAAATGTACTTGGTTCCAACAATAAGTTTGGTTTGGTTTATTGTTGCTTTATGTCCTATTAACAGTCAGGGTCATTTAAGGATGTGCTAGGTTTGAGTGGTGGAGGAAAGCTTCAGTTCTTTGAAACCTACCAAACCTGCCCAAATAAGGCCTCAAATTCGTGACCCTGTGTTGGAGGCCTCGTAATTAAGGTGGCCAGTTGCAGTAATCACTCAGCCTCCGCAGCGGCTAATAATAACACATAAGAAAGACAGAACTGTACTGTCTAGAAAGGACTTCTGAAGACAACACTTGTATACCCATGCTTAAATCTATGTTGCTGTACATATATACACTATATTTGCTCTTACCTTAAATGAGGAGATGAAATTCTTGTTCAAATTCAACAAAGTGCATCTGAAATTTTTGAGAATGAAAAAAATATCTTAAAACCATATCAAAATCTTGATGGTTCTTGAACGATTTTGGTAAATAATATAGGATAAGAGAATTTACCAATATGAACTGTATCACCGATTTATGACAATATAAAGATTTTATGATTTTTCCATATTTCAACTATTAAACTTTCATTTGGAATATAAGCTCAAAGTCAGCACAACCAGGACATTATGATAAATGAAAATCATTGAAAAAAAAATGAAACAACATGTCAAAAAAGGGAAGCACTATCGCCCCCTCTCCCTCCTCTCAGCCCCCACACATCGAACTAAAACAATATACAATATATATCGGCATACACATTTGTATATACATACAATATACTAATTTCAGATCAAGTAAATGTTTGAAACACACTGAAACTTGTAATAAGAAAAAGGCATCGTTGTGTGGTCAAGCACTCTCAATGGACAGAAGAATTTTGACATTAGAAAATATCTATTCCCTGACAAACTACAATGATTTATAAATTCTTATGAATATCAGAGAGTGAGCCTTGATGGGCCTAATACCAGATAATGGCCTATCAACAGACTGATCCCAATATTTGAGGTAACTTCTAACTAGCTCACTTAGGAAAACTGTAGGATGCCAGATTGGTGATATTGTTGTCCACAAGGTACAGCTGTTCCACACTTTTTAGGTTTCCAAGGATACGATAAAAGTTGTCTCTCTGGTACCGGTGATGTAACTCCTGGTAACACAGGCTAGCAGACTGTGGATCAAAGGTCAAACATGGAATCAAAAACTATGAATTCACGGCTTTTGTTTATATGATAAGTAAAAATATATATAATAAATCTATGTAAAATATCTAGTACATTTACATAAAACATTGATTAAATTTATGTAAAATAAAGACATTTATATTTGTATGTAAACATTAAATAAAAAAACATTTCGAAATATCAAAGTATTGGTTCAGCAATAAAGAAAAGTAAACGTCCATTAAGTTTTAGAAAAATAATTACGAAAGTCCAGGGAATATAAATATGTTTGTATGACTGAGGTATTTCTAATGCAGTGCAGCTTAATCATCTCCTTCTTTCAAAAGTTAATTTTTAGGAAAATACATAAACCATTATTTTCAGGTTTATACCGTTGCAGCATTCCAGTCCTCCAGTGTTGTGCGATGTTCTGTACGCTGCCTTCCATGTAGAGAGTGGTGAATGTTTTGATTATCCTCATCTTTTAACAGGTAAAACGCTTTTTCTTTTTCAACTGGACCTATATAAGTATGGAAAACTGAAAATAGTCCACCTAGACATATTCCATGTTACCTTTATATAGATAAATATGAATACTCTACCACTTACTAGGAATACCACCAATATTTATTACACTAAACTTTCCTTTTTCGTAATCATATGAAAGTAATCCATTAATAAGTTATTCAATTCCTTTTGAAATTTTCACAAACAAAAATCTCTAAACTAGTTCAAGCTGTTACACTATGGCCCTGCTGTAAAGTGATGATAGTAGTCATCACAACATATTGTTCCATTCTTTATTCCGTATAAATTTTCACTCGTTCACCTTCCACTCCCCCCACTAATTTTTCTCTTCATCAAATGCAATTTTTTGTTTTCAATTATTTTTTTTACAAAATTGGTTTGTCCTTTGTGTTAATTCTCTTTTACTATTGCAATAGATTTGATCGATAAACTCACCCTCTCTGACACGTGGAGCTTTGAGTTGTGTCCCTTTCAAACTGACAGCCCGTAGATCATGCCAAACTGAATATTGGAACCGGTGAGATGGCAGCTGAAAGAATATATATAAAAAGTCGCACCTACATTATCATGTGCCTTCAAATTCCTTTGTATATTTGACTCTGGAATAGTGATGCAGAAACAGAGAGAAATCTGGGTTTCACTGTGTCATATTAGAGATCTCTTATAGAGTTTCCATATTGATGAGGCAACTGTGTCTAGAAACACAAATTGATACTTACAATATCGTATCAACAAGACTTTGTAAAATATATTTGAAGTTTTTACGCAATACGCTTCTATTCTGCACATGTTGTGAATGATATTTGAGTAATGAGTGAGTGAGGAGTGAGTGAGTGAGTGTGAGAGTGAGTGAGTGAGTGAGTGAGACATACATATGTCTTGTTTTGTTCTTTCTCTCCATGCACCTTGTCATCACTCTACACGTGGTCGACACTAAGCACAGATCTGGTTACCAGGTAATCATATTTTAAGTAATCAACGTTGAATGTCCACTTTTAATATCAATGTCATAATGTTAATACATTAATAATACATGTATGAGATCAGTCTTGTGCTAAGCTACACATTTGTATTGCAGGTTTCCATCATTTGTCTCAGTGTATTGTAATAAAATGTGCTGAAAGAACTCTTTACTGCCTTCTATCTTGCCAATTGACTACATCGATAGTTTTTTCTCTCCTCAGTCATTTTCTGTAACATTCTTGCCTAAATTTTCGAATTACCTCTGGAAGTTCACTGATAGTCCCCTGGAATTTTCTCTGCTGTTGTAGATGCTTGTAGGCTGGGACAATGGCAAGCGGGACACCAGCAGATGATAGACCAGCGTTGCTGCCAGTGTCTCCACTTGTCGCACTCTCCGCGTTGATGGACACACTGGAAAATAAAATTTACATGCATTTTAGTAAGTACGTGTGTATATACAAAATACAATGATAGAAATCCTGACCAAGTCCATTAAACGATAACTGAATACTGATGAAACAAAGGCAAGGTATGAGAGAAGGAAAAATTGATACAAAGGTCAGTGAAAATCTACAAGTATGATAAGATTCATAAGAAGGGCAAGTGCTTTCTGCTTCATCATTGTCACTTGATATTGAAAGAATAACACATCTATGTAGACACTTTTCAAATTTTTGACCGAAGACTTTCTTTAACATTTCTGACGCCATTCTGATGGTAAAACATATTGACATGCAGATATTATCCTATCTAGGAACCACATTGCATTTAAAGAAATAATATATATACAAGTACATGATACACTTTCAAATATAGACATCGATTTCAGATGGATATCTGTTTGCAAGCAGCCATTATGTTGAGCTGTATCAAGTGAATGATGAATAAATGATTAGATGGAAATTTGTTTGCTTTTTTTTTGTAACATATTTGCATATGTTAAATTTCCTCCAAGATAAACCATCCTTGATACTCCAAGGATTATAATCACTTTCACTCTCTGCACCCTTGGAACATATCTTGGCAAACTTTAAGGTTCCATGTGCGATACCTTGTGGACAAGACAAAGAGACTTGTGTGATCCTTTGATGCACATTAAATGAATCTCGGGGTCGCATTACGGTACTTTTTAATGGCTTTAAAGTTAGGTGTCCATACTTTGTTATCTTCAACGGGAACATATCAGCTTGTGTTTAGTCAGTTTTTCTCCTCTAACCAATAAAACCAGTTTTCTTGGGCCTTCAATTCTGCCATGACATGTTCCAGGGGTGCAGAGAGCAAAAGTAGTCGTAATCGCTGGAGTATCACTGATAACACGATACACTTCACTTTTTATGATAAAATGTCCAATAATATAATATATTGCATGCTGCTTTGTTGTCATGTGTCAAGTAATTATTATTTTGATGAATCCTTTCTGATTTAAATTAAATCGAAAAATGTTGACCCACTGATGATAAAAAATCTATTTGAATAACATGTGGTACCATTGAGGGAGACAGAATAAAACAATACTATAAAATTTAAATCTAACCCTTTAAAAGATGCAAACATATACACAAATATCTAAGTATCATGATCTAAATAGATTTCAGTACATTTATCATTTCAATGGTTTCAATTCATCGACAGGACACAGCTATCGAGGTGCGAATTTTTAGGGTTCAGACACTAATGTGTCAATAATAAACATTACATGTAAAAAAAAGTATGGGGTTGCCAGGAGCATTTTCCATTAAACGAAGTTGTCACCAGTTCGTATTAGTCAAAGGAACACGCATAATCTCTAATGATAAAATTAGCGACAACATTTCAACGCATATAGAGAAATACGTATTTATCGCTGATGTTATTATACACATATACAGTGACTTCCGGTCTGATATAAGTCTTTCATCTGTCATATTACGATGGTGTGTAATATATGTCCCTGATTCAGTCTTTTGACATAATATATATGGTTAAAGTAGTAACATATCGGTTACAGTTATTTATGAAAGCGTTCCATAGCATCTTCATGCACCAATCAAAAATATACCAGCCAATAAAGTTACCTGTCCGACATTTCCTGCAAGTGCTTGCCAACTGTGTAATCATGTGTACTACGTCACAATATTTGTGTAGTATGGGGGTAAAACTAATTATCAGATATCTATGACCTGAAAGAATCAATTAACAGTTAACGTAATATGGATATTGATAATATCAGACTTGTTCCACTGCGAGTCATACGTTCCCATATCAGTAGACCATCCAATACATCCAGTATAACCACTCATTTCTGCAGTGATATAAATATATATATATATACTACTCATACATTTCTACACGTGTTTGTTTTCATCACAAATGCGGCGCGACGCTTTTAAGGACCGGGTAGGATCAGACAGGATGGAACAGTTTTCTGTTTTTCCCTCTCTCTCAAATGATTTAAATGTTGATTAGATATCCTGACTGTTTTCACCACAATCCTATTGTAAATGTTTAACAGTATGTAAGCATGGATTTGTTGGATATTGTGGCGAAATCTTCTGGTCAGAGTGCTTTAGCAGATGGTAAAAGCTTGAGTCTACACGGTAATATATAATCTTGGGGAGTACATCGCTAATAGGTCCCACCCTAAGATTTGGAGCATAGATGTTGCACTACCTGATTCATCAGATTTGTAATTTCTCAAGACGTATCTGGTATCACGTCTTTGGATTCCTTCCAAAGTGGTCGATTTGTGACTAGATGTAGGGTGTCATGGTAACGCAGCATACACTGTATTTAAAAAAATGGTCTTATTACATTGGGTAATGTTTTGGCATTGATGCCCTGTGGGCACGCTTGTAAAATTCTGCGTAGGATGGAGACATTTTGTATTGTAAATGAGTTCCTGCCATTGCTTCCTTGTAATCGTATATATTGTCACACAAGGCTTCCACTTCCGGCGGATGTGAATGATTACGTATATCTCAGGAGTTAATCTCATTTCTTAGACTTCTCCCCATTTTTAAGGTTCCCTAGACCCTGCTGGAGACTTAGGCTGTCCAGAGAGATTTTCACGGGTCCTATACATGATGCAGTCATCAGCGAAGGATCACGCAGTGGACGTTACAACAGAAACAACAGAGTGTTGTGTATATGTATTGGGTGAAGAGATGGGAGATAATTGCTTGGTCTTATCGCTCCATCGCTCACTGGATTAGGTACGATTCAGCATTTCGAATTACTTATATTGGAACTCTTTTGTATGAAAAGTTACGAAAAAGGAAATAAAAGAAATAGAGAGAGGGACTCAGCCATAGATATCTAACCTAGATGCCGCACGGCCTATCTACGACTGTTGACGCAACGTGTCTGCAGCGCCTCCATCTTGGGAAGGTATTGCCCCAAAATGAATTTATTTTTTAATGGCTGATATATCAAAGTGCAATTAATTATATATCAGTGTCATTCCTGCAACTTCATGATTTGCTGGACCTCATTTCAAGGGCAGGGGTGGGGTAATGAACAATATACCCCAGAATTCATGCACTTAATTTGTAGAGTGAATAATATGTGTGAATACATATTGCCAATCTATTAAAGGTTATATCAGCATGCAGAACACTGAATGCAAAGTACCACACAGCAGCTAACAGTCTCTGACCATGAGATGCATTAATTAATTATATACATAGGCACATGCAGTGTGACTGTGGGAGTCTTAATAAAAACATGAAACTAAGAGACATTTTCATCCATATTTTAATACATAACAATATGCAGGGTGAATCTGCAAAATGACACAAGAAAATCAAGTGCACAATAAAAATATGCCTTGATATTTACACGAGTTATTTATAAATAATATAATCTCACTGGCTACTTTCTTGAATTTTGGTGCATTATGAATGAGGAGACCACAGCAAAACAATGCAAGGTAATATACAATCGGATCTCGCCTACAGGCGATTCTTATTAAGTGCAGCATGTTGTTTGCCTTCACAATGAACATTCACTTACATGTGTAGAGAAGGTAAAACTATAATCCAATAACTGATTGAAATTGATGCAGCAACAATCACATTATGCATGACAATAATGAAAATAAGTATAGTGTGACCTTGCTTGAAGTGCAAACTACTTTATCTTAAGTCCTATGTTGCACCAGTCAAATACAAAGTATACACTCTCTTCATATGCAGCACTGATACCGTAAACCAGTCAACAAATCATGTCTTCTGTCTACATGTTCTGTATTCATCACTAATAAGCCCAAGATCACTATGTATTGTACAAGTTACAGGCTAGTTGCCTATTTCGTGACCAAAATGAAACTACTGTCAAACACAAAAGGTAACTGTAATCAATCACACTACTTTGCACACGTCAGTGCACAACAACATGTTACAGCAAAATAAAAAAAACTACTCCTTACATCAGGCGAATGACTATCTCTAAGTATAGCTGCTCAAATACTTAATGATAGTACTTAAAAAAAAACCCTTCATCATTACTTGAAACACTGCCTGTGACAATGACATCTACTTCTCAACACTATATATATGTTTACAAATCAAAATGAATAGGCCCCATCGTACAAAGGTCAATAGGATAAGGCACACATTCGCTTGTACAATACCTTCCCAAGATGGCGGACTGCTAGACACGTCACAGGCGCCGTCGCGCGGCATCTAGGATTAGATATCTATGGACTCAGCACTCTGGACAGATTTGTTTATCGTCATTTGTTACCATACCAAATTCCCCGATCACAAGAGGACCTATACTTACCGTCCCACTCTATAAAAAAATGAGAAATGCTGAGTTTACAATCTTACTTACCTGTATACTGTGCAAGGTGATGGGCACATCATAACACCAAACCTTTATTTATCAACTCAATGGTAATAACGTCTTTTGCTGCCATAAGCATGGTTTTCGGGGGGGGGGGGGGGGATCTGGTGAGATGCACCTCAGAATGCTCACCGTAGACCTAGCGAAGGCTACACAACTAGGTAATAAGCAAGGATACCTTATCCTGTTAACGTTCAGTAAGACGTTTGCCAAGGTTAACCATGAAAAACTGACCATATACTACACTATAGACATTAATGCTTTCCTGGTGAGGGGGTAGATTTACCATTGTTTATATATTGGAAACTTTCAGTACTGGGCGATGAAAATGAGAAGACTGTTAATGTTCATATATTTTAATTTGCAGTTCAAGTTTGCAAAATTATTTCATTTTACAACTAGCTGAAAGTGAAAAGTATCTATTTTAAGTTAATTTTCTCATTGTGGTTTTGTTAAAGCCCGAATTCAGGGTTATATCCGTGGTACCTTATACCTTGGTTAAATAAATAAATATATATCGATTTTTTTTAAATGTCAGTGATTGATATGAACCATTAAGCGTTACTTTCAATGTCAAATTCAAAAGAGGTTA